AAGATGTCTCAGCTTTCCCGTTCAGTTCACGTACGTCTTTGTCTCTCTTCCACCTGTCCCATCAGAATGGGAACTCAGCCAAGCCTGACGACAGGCTGTTCTCCCTCCTGCAGCCTGCCAGGGGATGGGAATACACGCTGAGCTCATCCCTGGGCTGCCTGGCTGGTGGCATCCAACACATAACTCTTCCAGCTTCACTGCATGCCTCTATCTCCCATTCAAGCCAGTCCTTTTTCCAGCAGCAACTTTTCCATCAGAAATTAATCCCAAGCAATTACAGTTTATTGAAATATAATTTAACTAGATTAGTCCTAACCTTCATCCTCTGTAAATCTCACCTTTATCCCCCTTTCACCTCAGCGTTTAAACAAAGCAACCCCCCTTCAGTACTTCTCTTCTGAGGAGATGGTTGCCAGATTGGACCCCGTACATCAGGGCAAACTTTTCTTCCAACTGACAAGGAGGCACTTGACTCTGTTATTGTTTATGAAGAGAAAGCTGGGGTCAAGTTCACAGGCTGGGAGAGGGAAAGAGAGGGAGAAAGTCTGTTCCAGCTCCAGCCCCAGGAGGGAAAGCATAACTCAGCCGTGTTTGTGCTTCCCTAATACCTTTTGGTTTTGCAGAAAATTGTGAGCTAAACTGCAGTGCACAAATATTGCCCAGAGCTTAGCTTCTTTGCCTCACCTCGCGGCCTCTGCAAACCTGTACCCACTCTGCTCTGTCCGGTCGTGCATGTGCTTCTCTCTGAAAACAAAGACAGTAGCTGCCTGTCTGGCAGCTCTAAGCAGAAATACAAATGTCTACAAAAGTAGCTTAGCTTTAACACCAGCTTTGGCATAAACACGGGCAACTGTTGTCTCAAGCTTTTGAAGAAGTAACACTTTGCAGCAGCTATTGTTAATTCTAATAGTTTCAATTCCGACAGGGATTTTTCCCGATTTGTTTACGCGTTTGCTAGAATTAACGGGGTCAGCTGAAGCAACGTCAGAGGCCTACAAATGTTCAGCTCCGGGCTGATGAAAACTGAATTTGTGCATGTCAAAAAGTCAAGAAGTGGTTGAGCTTGTGAAAGATCTCTGGATGCTTCCGAGGTCTTTTTATCTGTCAGGAGTGATTTGAGAGGATGACAGGACAACGGCCAAAACCTGAAGACAACGCGAACGCACAAACAAACATGGGAATGAAGGTGAGAGTGGTAAACTCCAGACACAATGTGTGTGTGTGTGTGTGTATCCAGCGCTGCCTCAGCACTCTCTGACTTACACATGTGGTTCGTATTTAAGCCATAGTGCTGTTCCACTGGACGATTTGGCTCTGTTCTTCTAATCGCACATTCCCTGTTTTTTCTCCTCCTGCTCGGCTTTAAGTGGTGCAGATTTCATAAATATTTAGGCGTAAAATAATAATAATATGTATAACGACTTCTCTCACTGAACTACTTTATTTATTTATCAGCCTACAACTCATTGTAATTTATAACAATATCTGAAAAACGTTTTTCATCTGGGCTGGAGGTTTATTTTAGTCTCTTTTATGATCGATCTTTTAAAATGAAGTTTTTGAAAAGGGCAGAAACAGCATAAGAAGCAACAGAAGAAACAGCACAATACTGGGTCACTAAAATTATTGATGACTGGCACACAATATGTGTGTTTTTTTAAAGATATATACAATTTTTTTTTTAAAATGAGTCTTTAAAGTCGGAAACTCCTTTAATAAAAAGTAAAATATTTTTTAGGCTTGAATTATCTGATTTTACAGGGTTGTAAAACAAAGGCGCCATCATTAGTTATAATCATTTCTGTCTGTGGTTACGCATCAACGGCGCACAATAGGACCCTCTCCACCTCAGCATCATCACCACCCCTCCACCCAACACGTACGCACACACACGCGCGCACCTTTCTCCATCCATCCTTTTTAATATCTCTTTCCTCGTCAAACTCTGTAACCCCTTCTTCTGCCCAATGAGCGAGAGGAGCTATCAGCGCGAACCCTCCCTCATGTCTCTCTCTCTTTCTCTCTCTCAGCTCGGACACTGTCCACCGTGCACTAATAAAGGAGAGATCCGGTGCAAGCATCCGACCCAGCACACAGCCGACAGAACCGCAGCGTCTCGTCTGACAACACTTGGCTCCTGCGCTGATTCGGACCCTACTTTTGCCCCTGAACCAAGTTAAAAACAAAACAAACAAACAAAACGAAAACAAGGATAAGTGTTTGTGCGGGAACTAACTACCGACACTTGTTGCTCGCCTCTCCAGGTAAACCTCCAGTTGGCATCCAGAAGCTCTCAGTGGAGAGTCTGGTGCGCACATGGCACCGACAACGCGCTCCTCTCTTTGCTGACAGCCGCGCTACATGAAGCCAAACATTGGATAATGAGGCCTCCCTGCTGCACGGCTACTCTCACACCTAACAAGTGAAGTTTGGAGTTTCTTCTGAGATTTGATTTTTTGTGGTCTTTTTTGGTACATCTTGGGCTAAAAAAAGTGAGGAAAAGTCATGTTGGGGTTAAACAGGATTGCCAGTCTCCGTGCAGCTCAGATTCAGCGCTGTGGTTCGCCGGCGGGAGCGAGACTCTCACCCCGATCTTCTTCATGCCAGAACGCCGGTGCCAGTTCGAGGATTTATTGCGCGTGTCTGTTGTTGCTGCTGCTTGTGACGCCTCGGGTGGACTCCTCATGGTGGTGAGTCTGCATCCATCACACATACTGGCCTACCTACCTGCTACACTGATTTATTTACCAGAACATCATCATCATTATTACGCTAATGATAATTTAGCATAATTTTAAATAATACAATTTAAAATGCCCACAAAATATGACGGATTATTCTAACGAAACTGAAACTTTAACTCAGCTCTATTTTCTTTCCCTAGAAAACTGTTCAGGGATCCAAAGCGAGATCAGCAAACTTATGAAGATTATTTTAATAGATTTTATTCCGAAAGCAAAAAACAAACAAAACAAACAAAAACCCCCCAAAAAACTTCATTCCAGCTAATTTTCCAGCAGCGAACAGAAAAGGCGGTTATGAGAGTTTGGATCAGTTAATTTATTATCGCGGACGCACTGTGCAGCTGACAGTGCTTTTCTCATCAGAACTGATGGCGACATTTTAATACTCTCTTTTTTCCTTTCTTTTCTTTTCTTTTTTTGTTTAGAGAATTTTGTGCAGAATCTAAATGTGCTGGGTTGCAATAGTCGCATATCTGCGCTTACGACTGATTTTACGAGGTAGTGAGTGTGAAGAAAAACTCTTAATGCGCTTTTCTGTCATCATCCAATTTAATTCCAACTGACTCGAAAATGAGCAAAGAGCACGACAGGACGTTAAAGTAAGAAAAAGAAAATCGCATGAGTTCATAAGTAAGATTCAAACTTTTCTTCGCGTCGGTGTGCTGGCCTGCCATGTTGAGTAATAATAATAGAGCGATAAACGTAATTTATGTCGGCGCTGTTGGCTGAGCGCGTGTTCGGCTCAGCTGGAGCCCGCATTGGACGAGGCACAGCAGTCATTAATTCACCAGGTACCACTCACAAACACACATGACTTCACTAAAACACCACCCAAAGCAGCCGCGCAGAGCGTAGGCGAACGGGTTAACAAAGATCTCAGTGCCTGCGCACTAACATAAGTGAAAATGTCCATGCCTGTGAGTGTGTTTACAGGAGAAGTGTCTGTGTGTGGGCAGGCGCAGGGATGATGGAATGCCTAATAGTTTGTGTAGATTGAAAGCAGTTATGGGCAGAGGCTTTGACTTGGCATGACTGACTTTGGGTGGGATTCAGTGTAGGAGATAAACTGCTTCCTCTAACTGTTCCTTATATTTATTCATAGATTTATTTATTTGTTTGTTTTTGGTGGATGGCTGCTGAGAGGTGACATGGAGCTGTTCCACCTTAGGGTGGGAGCAAAAATGTTATGGCTGTTGTAGCCACTTGAGAAATGAGCAAAATAATACGTCTAATTTAATAACATTGCTGTATATGTTCATCCGAAATGAAGACTTTGCTGTAGTAATTGGGAGGGGACAATAAAACAGGGTGAGTGTGCGTTGCTGACATTCATCCGTTGTGCGTGCCTCTATCACAAGTTTAACTTCAGTTCTTTATATGTAACAGAAAAGAAAAGTAATTTCATATTTACTTGTTCTGTTTTCTTTTCTTTTGCATTAGTAACACGTTCTGTCTGTGTCGTTTAAAATCAGAGCACAGCTCGGTGTCACCATGTCTCCCAGCCGTCTTTCTCTGGTGACCCACAGTGCAGCAAGTTGTTTTAGACCTGTGGATAATGATTTACTATCCTATAAAATCCACAAGTCCTCCTTACTCTCAGAAAGAGGGCGAGAGCGAAGAGAGAAAATTAAGTGTGAATTGCTGCTCTGGCACTTTCCTTTGATGAGCACTCTGTTCTTTTTTCCCTCCCCTCTAATCCCTCTCTGGGGAGTGTAGAGTCTCCAGTCTCCATCCTCTTGCCCGGCCTCATAAAACATGACCACACAGCTACAGGCTCCCTGGCCTCTCCTCGCTGAACCGCCAAAGCCTTGTGACTGCGAAGCTGCAAGAGGTCTCGCGCTCACGCACGCACGCCGAGAGGCCTATCACAATTAGAGTTTATTCTGGGCAATCTCAATGCACCATTTATCTTGATAGGACACTGTAAAAGTCTGTTTTATTATGGCGAGGGAGAGACTGCAAGAGGCATGCAGGAGAACAGTGAGCAAGATGAGAGCAATCAGGCAGACAGAGAGGAATAAAGTGAGTAAATGGGTCTTAGTTTGACAGGGTTATTGGAGGCCCCAGACGTCCTGCTCTGATTTGTGACAGCATGATTTCAACGATGTCTTTGGGAAACATTTAAACACACGCACACACACAGGTCTTGTGGGGAGAGGTTAAGTGCTTATTTATTTGGAGAGCGGAGTAAATGGTTTCCACTCCCCTCCGACTCGCAAACCTTAAACTGTTAAGTGTAGTGAACTCTGACTTACAGAGGACTGGAACTGCAGCTCTCCTTTACGCCGCTCACCACCTATAGGTGCGTGTTTCCACTTGTGCCTACATGTTCTCATAAGGGCTCCAGGGTTTAGCAATCAGTTGCGATATATAATCAATCGCTCTTGCCTGCTGATTTTTGAGTACGCACGGCCAGAATTGTGGATTCAGTTTGAAATCGCTCTAAATGTGTTTCCCCCCCTTTTGTTTGTTTATCGTAGGTATATCGGCGCACTCGGTGCCCGTGTAATCTGTGACAACATCCCCGGCCTGGTGAACAAGCAGCGGCAGCTTTGCCAACGCCATCCTGACATCATGCAGGCAATTGGGGAGGGAACCAAAGAGTGGATCAGAGAGTGCCAGCACCAGTTCAGACACCATCGATGGAACTGCAGCACACTGGACCGAGACCACACTGTCTTTGGACGCGTCCTGCTGAGGAGTAAGTCTGCGTGTGTGTGGAAAGTAAACGTGATGCCAGAGGGATGGAGGGTGAAGCCAAGCTCTGATTGTGACTGTGGGAATCCTCATTTTCACCTTTCTCGTTCAGTTTTTCTTCCTTTTCTTTCACTTCTCTTTCTTCTCTCTTGCTTTTCCTACTTTACGCATGCTAGTTCGCCGTGTTTACAGTCAGTAATGGACTGTTGTAATGCTTATGCCTCATCAATAAACACACACACACATCAAGACGTGGAATTGTCGTCATTTGGTTTTGCAGCCCCTGCCAGAAATTTCAACTTTGCTGCACAGTCATGCATGCACACAGGCACAGTCCCATACATATGTTGCTTCAGTCTTCAAAGGCAGCGGATGTATAATTCATCCTCTTGAAGACCTTTACAAGTGAGAACAATCACCTGGTGATTAAATGATACGTTATTCATAATGATTTTCTTTTCCAAATGCTTTCCTTGATAGTAGCAAGCATTAAAGGACTATTGTTGCATTCTGAATGTAGCACGGGTGCAGCATTGTGTCTACAAGTCACTCAGGAAGGAGTCACCGTGATGCTAATCCTTCAAATTATATGCATGGATTATGCTTTTTGTTTCACTTTGTTGCATAGAAGGAAATCCTCCGTTAGCAGCTGCTCGCTGTTGTGTCGGGGCGCAGGTTGCACGAAAAGATGTTTGTCTCCGCGAACTTGGTTTCTGACATCACTGACTTTCCGTGGCCTGCTACTGCTATCCCAAGCATGTGTGGGGGCTGATGATGCATGGAACAAAAAGTAGCAGATATGGAGATAAAGGCTGCGTGTGTGTGCGGGGTGGAGAGGAATAAACAGTAATGTAGATGTAAATATTTAGAGAGATATTCTCACTGTCAGACAAACATCGCAGGTTTGAAAGATGACCAGCAGTGCCCTCCTCAGCCCTCTCCCACATACAACCCCGCCCCACCCCCACTGCCCCCATCTCCTCACAGGCGAAACGGGACACTCCAGTGAACAGAGCATGCAGGTTGGATCGCACAAACTCTTAAGGAGCAGGGTGAATGTGAAGTGTCCCACCCTTAGTTAGCTAAAGTGCTGGTATTTTCATTTCGTGAAACTTAATCCTTTGACACATTTTGAGAAGAAGGTCTCGCTTCACTAATGCAGCTAGGTGCTAAAACTTTAAATGCAAAAGCGCTTCTGATAAATGCAGTCAACATTACTGTAGCCTAGCTTCTTCCAGGTTATCAGACAAATGCAAACATCTTTAGAAGGAGGGCGCACACAGAGGTTCAGCTAAAGATATGAAGTGCAAATCAAACATGAACATGAGAAATAAACCTGAGCGCTTTTCTAGCCTGAGTACATGGATCAAAATGCAAATATGTCAATTAAGGTTTATACTTTCAGAACAATATAATATATTATAATATCAATATAGGGTCAAAGATGATGCTCACTGAGTCCATCCAACTAATGATTTTTGGATTTTTGTTAAATGAAACTTGTTTTCTCAGGGCGAGATTGTGAAATCATTAGTGTCTTTATCTTTATCGCCTTTCATGGCTAATTTCTGTTTAAATATCCTGACCTGGGCAACCTGACAGACCAAATAGCCAAGTTATTGTTTGTAAAATTCACTAGCAGCCAGTTTTAAAAATAGAGATTAACGACCTCATTTCAGTTTCATTTCAGGCTCTCCAGCACAGAGACACCAAATAAAAATGGTTTTTATCCCGTCGATAAACTGTCTAAAGATGAAGAAGCTCCTTGCCTCTCGCTGCCATGTTTTTTGGATTATTCATTCCCGGAGGTGCTGCAAAAAGCAACTGTGACCAAACACTATATCTAATTCTCTCTGTGTCGTTGGCCAAACAAAAGATGAGTCATATTCTAAAGAACGAAAGAGACCAGAAAAGAACAGATGAGCAGAGCAATGGTAGATAATGCTGTCATGACATCACCCTGGCGCTGATTAATGGGGTATCACTGTGTCTGTATTCAAACAATTTATGTGAGCAGAGGAGAGCCCCACAGCTAGGATTATTTCCATGATAATATTTAAACAGAGCTGGTGTATACTCCACTTCAAGCCTGATATGTCCTGTCAGCTGCACCTTCAATGTCCTCATACCAAGGCCCTGTCATAGCATTATGTATATTTGTGTATGCATGATAACATGTGGGCTGCAAAGTCTTTGGAACATGGCAGGATATGAGTAACTGCAGTTTCCGTATTCAGAAACGGATTATGTTATTCTAACCTCTACCCCCATCTAACCTCATTTGGGTTTTCTGCTTTTACTCTCAGGCAGCCGTGAAGCAGCATTCGTCTATGCCATCTCCTCAGCAGGAGTCGTCTACGCGCTGACTCGAGCCTGCAGCCAGGGGGAGCTGAGGACGTGCAACTGCGACCCGCACAAACGCGGACGAGATAAAGACGATAGAGGAGAATTCGACTGGGGCGGCTGTAGCGATAACATCAACTACGGGATAAAATTCGCCAAAACCTTCATAGATGCCAAAGAGAGAACGGTCCGAGATGCTCGGGCACTCATGAACCTACACAACAACCGCTGTGGCAGAACAGTAAGTGTGTGACTGCTATGCATTAAGAAACACTGAACATGAGGAACCCGTGATGTGGATGTTTCAAGCGTACATTTAACAACATTTAAAAGCAAA